TATGGAGATTTTGCTTGGAAAGTGAAAGGGCCACCTCAACATTAGAGATCAGAGTAAAGGAAGAAAGTAGTGGGAGATGATACCAGAGAGATGTGAGAAGAGGAGGAGGGAGAAATAATGGTATCTCTAGCATGGTTTCAATATTTTTGGTGAATAATGAGGTGAAATCTTCAGGTGGGAGGGTATAGGTTTGGTGTGGTGGTGGCATGGGAGGCTTGAGGAGAGAAAAAAAAGTGTGAAGCAAATCAATTAGGAAAGAGTAGTGAGTTTGCTTTGCTGTAGTGAGAGCCCAGTTATAAGAAGCTAGCTAGTGGACCTAGAAAACATTTTTGTGATTTCCTACAGTTCTGTCCAATAGTGTTTAAGTAGGAGCAAAGGAAAAAGATGGTGGGAATAATCTAAGGTTGTAATTTGGTAAGATAATTGGTGACAGGACAAGGGAATCAGGAATTCAAAGGTAAAGGACAATGTAGCATTGAATTGGTTCACCTAGGGGTCAAGTTTGGGAAGGAAAGAGAATGTAGCCAGAACAGGGTTGATAGCCTGAAATAGTACAGGAAAATGGATAGATTAGAGATCATAGTGAGGATGAAAAGTAGGTTTAGGAGGAGTAATCAATAGAAAGAACTAGAAAGATAAAATACTATGGTAGGATAAAAGAAGAATAATTCTTGAACATGGAAGTGATAGACTTGTTGCTGACTACAACATCAAGGGTATGACCGTTCCTATGGCCAGCTGAGGTAAAAATGAGGAACAGATTATGAGACATGAACAGATTGAGGAACTGGGAAGTTAGGGTATTTGAGAGAACATCAACATGTATGTTGAAACCTCCAAGAATTAGAACAAGAGTTGAGAGGGTGAGGAAGACCACCAGTTCTGCTTTTGGCCCTGCTATCGCCTGGGGAAGCTGCTCCTATAGAGAAGCGGTCAGCCATCACCACCATCTCCTACCAACTGCCATTCATAAGGCAGTCAAACCAGACTAGTTGAAGAAGCAAGGGACCCTGAGGGGAAGAAAGGATGCAGCATATGACAGCAAGTCAAATCAACACTGGTATCACCATGATCACTATCTATCACATCTCAGATCCTGATGGAAACAGCCTAGGTCCCTGGACCTAAGATTCTTAGAGATAGCAATATTTCAAGCCCAATGTCTATAGCCATCATACTGAGAAACAACCCTTGTAGAGATACATCCTGGTAACTGCTTCTGAAAATGCTGTGGCCACATCTGTTGAAGACTTAGAAAAGAAAGTCCTCATCATCAAAGGCTTTGGCATTGTCAAATGGTTTAATATCAGAAAGTGATATGATTTTATCAGTGGAAATGACATTCCAAAAGTATTATCATCTGCTTTGTCACTGCATCCAAAGAACCATGGCATCTTTTCATTTGACTTGAAGCTGCGAGTTTCCCAACGTCTTGTCTTCTCCCATTAGAATGTGAGTTCCTTGAGAGCAAGGTCTGTCTTACTTTTCTCTTTGTATCCCCAGTGTCTAACACAGGGCTTTGCACACAGTAAGCACTTCATAAATTTTTAAAATTTCATTCATTCATTTGTTCATTCATTCATTCATTCAAGTCAGGCCCTGAACTCTTTGAGAAAGGAGAAACATGTACTGGGGTTTTGTAGATAACAATCACTACTATTTAGATTTGGTCATAAATTTGGATTGCTTAAACTTCAAAGGAAGAGGAGTTGTTGAGTGATGTCTGTAGAGGGCCTAGAAGTGGCAACAAGGGAAAAAGTGGTATTTCAATTCTGTCACTAGGACCAATGGAGTATGAGTGAAATTGTAGCCTAGAAAGGCAACAAATAGCTGTAGTGTCATCTGGGAAGCCACATCAGTGAACACCAGAAGACTGAAGGAATAAGAGAGGAAGTGATATAAAATGAGAAGTTTGTTAATTATTGAGCACCTATTCCCAGGGGCATAATGGAAAGGGTGTGCAGATCAAAAGTGGCACATTGCAGTGAGGGTTAGGAAGGGGAGAAAGTTAGGATTGAGGTAGATGGGAATAAGGCAGTAGACAGCTGGAGTTAGGGAATGAGATTTGTTTTTAGCAGTTGGAAGTTCAGCATCACAGAGAATGGGAGAGGAAGAGGAGGTGATTGTACACTAACCACTGGAGAAGAAGTCCAAGCAAAGTATAAGTGATGTCTGCAGATGAAATCAAGTGATTAAAAGGCTCAAGGTTGACATTTCAAATTTTTGGCACAGCCTTTAACTACTCAATTTGTGTTGTTGTTTACTATACCAAGATATGTCTGAAAGCACACCTTTAAACCAGTATGAGTGGAAGGTGTGATCCCAGCCAGGTGGCTACTTGGAGGAAGCTTGGTGCTATGGCCTTTGGAGTGTTTAGTGAGGAAGTGGGAGATTTCATGTCTTGTACAGCTGGTAAGTGTGTGAGGCAGGACTCAAACCCATATCTTCTTGACCTCCAGTCTTGTAATACTCTATCCACTACCCCATGCAGCCTTGGGCAGAGAACATTTTGATGATGATCAGTGAAGGGAGAAACAAAAACAATTTTGTCAGAGGGGTACTCACAAACCACCTTGATGGAAAGAAGAAGTAAATGAGGAGTTTGGGAAGCACAGTCAACTTTGCATCTGCTAGAGCTATCTCTCTGCTGAAAGTAGAGTAGTTGATAAATTCATGACTTTCATGATAACTATTTCATTCAAAAGGTAATAAAAACAACAAGGGAAATTGCTATTCTGATTATGATTCTGACCAACAACGAGGAATTTGTTGATGAAATAGAAATTATGGAAATTCATAGGAAGTGACTATTCCACTTTAGACAGGAAAACTAGGCATAGATTGATGTGCACCTTAGATTTAGGGACTTCAAAGAGTTCAGAGGAAGGATAGGTATAACCTCAAATGATACTGGGGAAATTCAGCCCTAAAAGATGGGATGATCTTAAGAACGAAACTCAAGACGAAAATAGGAATTATTCTAGTGAAGAGCAGAAGCAGGGGGCTGGAAAGGGGAGACTTTGTAACAGATTAATGTTGATACACAGTAAGCTGGTTGACAAAATTAGATTTTTAAATGAAATAGATAGAAATTGGAACCAAGGGCAGAGTTATGTGGTCTTATGAGAACAGCATTTGGAGGGCTTAAGTTTAGCAGGAGATGGGGCTGGTAATGAATACTGAGAACAGCAAAAGATTTTTTTTTAAAGCTATTCTCATGGACAAGGTAGAGAGATGTAGGCTAGAAAAAAACGGATTGATTTGAAAGTGTTTGAATACAAAGAGTTTTAAGTTTTGATGTTAACTTAGGATCATTGTATCATAGATTTAGAGATGGAAGGGACCTCATAGTTTTTCTTGCAATTCTATAGAAGAGAGACCGAGGTTCAGAGTGATTATCTATCCCAAGACTATCCCAAGTAGGAGCTGAACTTTGAGCCAGATGCTTCGAACCTAGCACTCTTTCCAGTGTTCTATGATTTCTGCAGGGGTACTTCAGGGATTTGGGTACCATGTTAACCTTTTAAAAATCAATAACTTGGATAAAGGTATAAATGATGTGTTTATTAAATACATAGGTAACATAAAATTGTCATGGACAGCTAAGCACTGGGTGACAAAGTCAAGATTATTATTATTACTTTTTTTTAATTTTTAGGCAATTGGGGTCATATAGCTAGTAAGTGTCAAGTGTTTGGTCTGAGGCCGGGATTTGAACTCACGTCCTCCTGACTTCAGGCACAGTGCTCTATCCAGTGCATCACCTAGCTGTCCTCCAAAGTCAAGATTCAAAAGAGGTTGGACAGGCTAGAACATCAGGCTAAAGTTTAGCAGGAGTAAGTATGTTTAGGTAGATCTTATGCTTAGGTTCAGATACACAATTTCCTAAGTACAAGATGCAAAAATGTGGTAGACTCAAATTTGAATATCTGTGACATTTAGTGGATTGCCATGTTAATGTAACATCTTTGCAGGCAGAAGAAAAGGCTTGGATCCACATGGACTTCCATTTCTCCATTGCCCCTGGGAAAGAAGTTCTCTCCTCCTTCTTCCCTCTTGTACTCTTTCTCTCATTTTTCTTTCCTCTACTTTCTCTCCCTTTCCCTCTCTCTTTCTTCTTTCTTCATCCTTTTGTGTTATTTTCTCTTTATCTGCAAGTGTTCTCCAAAACTATGCAATGTTTATTAGCATTGAGAGATGCATACAAACTTGAAATCAGGAAGTCTGCAGGCGCAGGCCATTCTTTTCACTTGTATTGGAGGCCTTTCATCAACATGAGTAAAAAAATGGGATATGGCAGCCAAAGAAAGCTAGGTGATATTGGGAATCATTGGGAGAGGCACAGAGATCAAGACTAAAGACGTGTTGAAAGGTTTCATATCTAGAATGAGGGAGGTAAGGGTTCTATTGTAGTCTTTCCTAATTAGATTATATCTGGAGTATTATATGGTCGTTTTTAGAACATTTATAAATTGGAGCTCACCCTGAGGAAATTACCAAGGATGATGAAGAGACTGGAGACTATTGCATATGAAGACTAATTGAAGAAACTGGTAATTCTTATCCTATAAAAGAGAAGACTATGGAAGACAGGAGAGTTATCTTTAAATAGGGGAAAGATTGTCATGTGACAGATGGCACAACTAGGAGCAATGCACAGAAACTGTAAAGAGCCAGATTTTGGCTCAATGTAAGGAACTTACAAGGTTAGAGCTTTGCATGAGTGGAATGGGGTGTTTTAAACGTCAACCCCAAAGTTTGGTCTAATAAAGACAAACAGAATTAGGTTGTATGAGTGCTTTAGTTCTCTCAAGCCGGTGGCCTGCATTCAGAGCTGCAGGTGGAACTGAGCTCATTTTGGCGTTAGTCTACACAAAATAGAAAGATAAAACCACAAAGCTGGGTGAGAATGACTGTGTCATGGCCCATTCGGGTACTGCCACCATTCTTCAGGTTTGGTTTCCATTTCCCTGCGAAGGGGTCATTTCATACAAGTCATGGGACATTCCAGGGTATATGGAACAAGGAAGAGGATCAGGATGGAAAGTCCCCAGAGCTCTATTCTGGTGGGTGAGTCCTTAAAGCACTGTCAGGGAAAACAAGGTTTAAAGGGGCAGAGATTTACTCTTCCTCAGAGAGTGGGAAGGGGAGTTCTAGTAGTCCTTGCTTATTTGACTAGGGGTCTGTTCTATTTTCACCTGTATAATAATGGTTTTCCTACTATAGGAAGTCTTCAAGTTGAATCTAGATGAGGTTGAGGTAATAATGCCTGAGATCCCATCTGTGATTGATGAACTAGGTGTATTTAGCTAGCTGTCTTTAACTATCCGAAGGTCTGTCAGGTGGAAAGGGATCAATTGGTTTTGCTTGATTGCAAAAGGCAGTATGATGCACAATGATTGAAAGCTGCCAATAGGTAGATTATGACTAGATGTAAGGAATTACTTCTTAACATTTGGAGCAAGTCAAGTACAGAGTGAACTGTGTGCTTTGCCATTGATTTCTCCACTACATTAGAGGTCTTCAAGTAATGCCCAGATGACCAAAACTGGGGTATTATGGATTATATTCTTTAGATAATAGGCTAAACTAGAAGATTTCTGAAGTTTGTTTCAATTTTGAGATTTCTATGATTCAGAAAGATTGGGACTACATCTTGGCACATAAAACTCCTCAGGAGAATACACAGACTAAGTAGGTAAAACCCCTCTCCCCCACCTCCCCACCCCCAAACCTGGGAAAATATATCTAGGAACATCCAAATCCCATAGTCATACCATTCTTCTGTGACAAGGTCCTTTCTGCCTCTCTCTTCCTTCTTACCACACTATACAAGTCTGCATAAGCAGAGCCATGAAGGCTTGTCTCAAAACCTAGGAGTAAATGTCTTCTGACCTCCTTGTTTTTAAAGGCAGTTAGCTACAGTTTAGAGAGTGATTGGAGTTCTACTCAGGGGTAGTTGCTTATAGCCTCTGCCTTGCAGCTCCATAGCTCAACTATACTGCCCCCCTTGCTGTGATAACTCCACCAGCAGAGCTGTGCCAGCTAATATAAGAGAGTTCATCCCTGCCAAAGTGACGGCCTTTTTTCAAGAATGATCCAGTAAATCTTGGGCTTCATATCATTGTAAAAGTCTTGGATCTCTTTTATTGCTTCATTTTGGTGACTGGTGATTAGATAGTTGAAAACCAAAGTATAATAAAATACAAAGAACTCATGGAGATGTAGCACTAGTAAAATTTTTTTTAAAGGTGGGGGAGGGGCGGGAAGGAAGGCTGCCCTGGGCTCCTCTTTTAGATTGCACATTCCTTTTTGTGTTTTATAAGTCGTCTCAAGGTTCAGAGAACTTATCTTGAGGTAGATTCATCCATCTGCAAAGGAGGCATTTAAGAATTAACCAAGGATAGTATTCCCCTTTACAGTCTTTTGTTTTTTAAAGAAAACAAAAAGCCCTACAGCTAACTCCCAAATGCATCACAGAGCAGGAGGGCTTTTCATTTTGGAAAAAAAATCTTGTGAGATGTGGTATTTAAGATTCCATCTCAATAAAAACAACCAAAAAAAAAATACAGAGAAGAGATAAGGTATCTTCCCCCAAAAAAGAACCTCAGGCTGTGGACTATCTGCTATTCAGCCCAGGCTCTAAGACAATCAGGCTGAAAAATTCAGAAGCTATAGACAGGGAAATTCCATTTAGTTAGATCAGTTGTCTTAAAGACCTGAAATCATCCGGACAGAATGAAAAACTCACCTGATTTCCTTACTCTCTTTTATATAGCTTGATACTAATTCTACTTAATTTTTTTAATTTTCAACCAGACACATCAATAGCACATTTAACTTTTTCAGGTGTTCTTCCCTGCTCCAAATCATCATATAACAGAGACATAGGATCAAAGAAGGCAAAAGAAACTGAAGGATCATTTTGCCCAAAACTTTCATTTTATAGATAATCATCCTAGAGGATTGATTTAACATAACGACACAGCATAATCTAACATAAAAGGACACAACCTAACAGGATGTGACATGATGTGTGGTATGCTTGTGACATAGACTTCCCACTATGTAACTCCTCATATGGTACATATTCACTTAGCCTCTTCCTAAGCTGGCTTGCTTACCCTGCTCTCACAGCATCAAGTTAAAGTTTCCAGAGAAAGACCATTACCATATAGTTAAGATTTAAACTCTGTAACATCCTAGAGTCAATCCTATTATGGGTGGGATACATTCTCCCTATTTGCCACTTTATCTCCCTAGTCCTCACTGGTATGCTTCCATTCTTCTCAAAATCAGTCATTTACAATGATGATGATGGGGTATGGGCCCCAGCCAAGACCTTTGCTCCTTACCCCAAAAAGATTCTCCTTGAATTCTCCCACTTGATCAAGGAGGTCTCTGGTGTTCCCCTGAGGCTACAGTCCTATCAGCTGGCCTTTTGTTATCACCTATACCCAATCTCCCAATTCTGTTACCCTTAACCTAGCCTAGCCCTCC